ATACAGTCGACCCCCCTATAATTACGGTCCCTATAATTACGATTCCTATAAAACTACGAAAAAATATACGTATTTTGGAAATGTTGAGTCGGATTAGTGTAGAATCGATTAATTTTATGGAAGAAAACCTTTCAATCAGCCGTAGTCCGTAAACTTGACACGTGTCGGGCTGTGATTAGAACGACTTGTAAGAAATCGGATTCCTAATAAATTGGAACGTATCTATATCTTATAGGGGCGTCGACTGTATATTCAATTGGGACACAAGAGCTCTTCTTATAGCGCGAAAACCGGAGCGATCATATGTGGAAAACATGCGGTCTGCGACCAAACAAAAAATTTCAGACAGGAAAGCAGAAATTGATATAATTTAATACGAATATAATTCAAAACGACAAAAAAATTTTTTTAAACTTAAGAGGTTATTGAGTTACACTACAAGAAGAAGAAATTATATCTAAACTAGATTTACTCACGGAGTTTACCTTTTAGTATGTGAAACTACTACAATATAAATCATTAACGATTACTTCTACAAAAGCCACTATCTATGAATGAGGGAGTTTACAAATTGATTGTGTATCGATAAAATTTTCTAAAATAACTATCCTAAGGAGTTCCTTCGTTGATTCGTTCTTTTCGTGGATAGCTAACTTCGCAAATATATAAAACAATAGCACTTGGAAAAAGTACAGTTACAGTGATATGCTGGCATAATTTGGGATGATGAAACAATGGAATCTTTATGACAATTTTGATCTCAAACTGGAACTTTCGATTTTTATATACCTCCTGTTTATATTATTCTTGTTTCCCTTGTCTTTGGACATATTCAAATTTTAAGATAACAGATAGAAAGTGAGATTATTATTCAATCCTAGAATTGTTTTTTGTTGAACTTCTACAGGTGAATCGAACTCAACGGATGAAGAAGCAATTCGAAGAGTCTTCAAGAAGCAAAATGTAATGAACTTGATTTTTAACTTCGTGGATTTTAGCTTTGTTTAACAGTATAAATTTAACACAATGTTAAATTTTATAAATAATAGCACGGGGTCTCACAATTTTAAATCATGACCAATACAATAATAAACTTAAAAATATATTAGTTTACATGATTTTTTATGAATTAAATGAAATATTAATGATGATAAAAAACTGTATTTTCTGCATAAATATTGTGATCTTTTCTATTTATGACCGAGGACTTCAGGTATATTCTATAATGGCTATAAATTTTTAATAACACCCTCAAAATTTTGTAACAGAACAAACAAAACGTATATTTATAAATTTATTGTTTACTGAAGCAACAGAAAATATTTTAATTTGAAAATATAAAATACATAAAAAGTACAAAATGATTTCAAAAATCCATCGTTAAATGATCCAAGGCAGTACCGTATTCAACCTACGCTATGCTCGAAATCAGGAAGTTTCCATCTCCCTGTAATCAAAAAATGTGGCACTACTCGCTTATTTAATAGCAAATACACTTTTCGTAATTTATTTCGATATCTATTTGCATATTAGTATCTATTATCAAAGTGAAATTAATGAGAAATTTTAATCATTATTTAAATAAAATGATTTTAACGATAATGTTCCAAAAAAACTTGTTTCGAACATTATATTTCGAAGTTGGAACAAATTCATATTCGTTCAAATTCGTTTATTTACCGGAATTTTTGTTTCTTTGTTACCCTAAAAAAATGAAAATGATTAAAATATTTATTAACTGCCAATATGTAGAAAATATTTATTTTATTTATTTATTTACACTATATACTGACTAAAACCACTTTCCTTTCTCCTCTCTATGAAGAGGAAATAAAATTTTTTAACATTTTTTTGTGCATTCTCATGGCGTACCCTACTAAAACGCAATTAAAAATAAAAAATCTCATTTAAAATATTAATAGTATAGTAGAAGCTGAATGCTTTAGGATATACCTTAATCCTCTTCCTCTCCCATGCAAGATGTCACGTTCTCGTGACATATACAAACTGTACCAAATATTACCCTTCAACTTCTAACCGTTCGTGTTCTGCGCTTATTATTATTATTACGCATCTCGATTACATTATAAGAAAATACAGCTTGTTCGGAAACAACGATAAAGTCTTTCTGAAATTGTTCAGCTGCATAAAAACTACATTAATTTAACAGAAAACGAGCTGAAAACATTCGCGAAATTTCGTAAGTTAGTGTGTACCTGCTGAGTTCTGTGTAAAGTTATAATAAATTTTATGCTTTAAGAATTTTCAGTAGTTAATATTGCGTTATGTTATATTCTGTGTTCGCCAGGATTTGCAATTCAGTTCAAATTAAAAAATAATTCAAAAAATTGTATTTTGGAATTAGGAGTTTTAAAGTGATTGTACAAAAAATTTTATTTAATACTAGCTGCAAGGATTCACTTCGCTAGGTTTTTATTTGTTCGTACATTTGTGTGTAGTATAGTTTTTGTTTTTTATATATAAAAGAGTGTTTTTCTAAGTAATCTAGAATCTAGCTGCAAGGATCCGCTTCGCTGGGTTTTTATTTGTGGGCAAAAAGTAACGATAGTGAAGATTAAGATAATTACATTATAGCCAATTTTACCCGTTTTCACAGAATGCAAGAATTAGGTCCCCCGTTTTCAGACTAAGTACAGACCTGGTCCCGATTCTATTTCTGAACGTCTCCTGTTCACGTCCAGTCAAACGAACTATTTTCAACGTTTCTGGAACGTTTACGATCGTTCTATAATCGAACCAATATTCGAATTTTATGTTCGAATTTAATTCGAACAAATTCGAACAAAACATTCGAAATAGAAAGCCACTTTCAACCACTTTCAGGCCCATATCTCCCGCACCCTTATAGCTATCGAGACGCAACCACCCCTATGCACGAATGGAGACTTGGGGCTACCACCACATACAAACACCATTCACGTGCGATGTGTAGTTTCTGCGGAAAAGTGAAATATAGGGACATACATGTCCATTTATATATATATAGATATAGATATAGATATATAATAAAATAATATTGATTAAATATTAAAAGGTAAAATTAGTGTATTTTAAAAGCTAAAATGTTATACTTTAAAAACAAGGTAAAAGTTAGAATACTCTAAAATTTATTTAAAAAAGCAACGACAAAGAAATATTCCTCTCAGTCCTTACCGATTTTCGTCTTTACATTACTGTGTGTTTCATTCTTCGACCGTTAATGATAATATTTGTTGAGATACATTTCTTATTTTTCTCTTTTGCGATTTTCGATGCTTTTCTATATTAAGAACTAATAATCAAACAAAAATTAACAGTTTTATTGGTTTCTATATAAAAATTAACAATAACACATCTGATTTGCAGTTATATGAAGAAGTTACATCTTATACAGTAGAACTTCGAAAACTCGGCACTCCGTATAACTCGGCCACACTCTGGCAGGACAAAAAAATCCTTAGTTAATTAATTTTCATTATAGACAGCTTTATAAAAGTATAAAAGCTGTCATAAAGTATTTTTCTGAGGTCTGTCTTATCAGGTAAATTACTGTACACAGTGTATTCATTAATTTTCATTTACATGTAGTAAAGGCTCTATGCCTTCATAAAGTACGTACTTTTCCTTTGTTTAAGGGTATTAGGTATTTGGGCAGTTTATTCTCTGTTGTATTCTCAAGCAAAACAATACATACAAGTACAGTACAGTATTTTCTGAGAAAACACGCATACTTATCCTTTTTTAACCCCATTCCCGATAGCCCGGTATTTTCACAAACTCGGCCACCCTTCGGTCCACATTAGGCCGAGTTTTCGAGGTTCTACTGTATTAGGAAAAGTTATATCTTAGATTCTTATGGTTCGAAAATAATATTATAATATTGCTTCAGATTTAAGAAAAATTCAACGAATAATTGTATATACATTTTAATTACTTTTTGTAGGAAGTTGAAAATAACAAAATACCACGCGACAATGAAAGAGTTAAGAAACCAAAAATTTCAGTCTATAAAGCATACGTGAATGCCGGAGCTGGACTTTTCTTCAAGATCGTTATTTTATCCACGCTAATTATATCGCTATCCGTTACGAGTGCCAGCGACTACTGGCTAATCGAATGGTATGATATTATAACTTAGCATACTTTAAGACATGAACAGATTTTTAATTAAAATGTTTAATTAAAACAATGTTATATTACGTAAGCCATATTGCATTTAGCACTAATTTCAGATACTGTGTTATCAATGACCAAACAATTGCAATGAATATATAATTTTATGAATATTTCAACTTACAGTATTATGTGGCATTCAAAATAAACGTCATAATAAAATTTTCAAATATAAGATATAATCAATAGAATGAATTATTTTAAAGATATTTATTTATATATATTTTTTAAAGAGTTACTATAAAATAATTTATATACTGTACACAAATAAATTTATTTTTTAAATTTAAACTTGAAACTTAATGTCAGCAGAAAAAACATTTATTTCAGTAGCCTACTTTACTGAAATAATATTTTCGAATGATAAAAATATTTAAAACATTTTTGCACTAAACATCAAATATAATTTCATTTTCACGATCCCACGCTGTCTTTGTATCCTGAACACTAAGAGTTTAGTCGTGGGTTCGAGCCTCGCTCAGACCGGCTGGCCACGGGTTTTCTCCACGACTATAACGCCTAAATAAGAGCCAGTTTCCCTTAAAACGATTCCCGAAGGGCATTCCCCGTAGTCAGATCACCCAAGTGTTGCGTTGCCATAGCTTAAATTAACAAACAAACAATTTCATTTTTACTATACTGCATCATTGAGGCAGGTGAAACTACGTATATTACAAAAAGATATGTGATTTACATATCTTGTCCCAGTGTCAAGCTTTGTAGCAGTTGATTTCAACGTCTGATTTTTTAGCACATAGGAATATATCAAAGTATGGTCAATGTTTCTCAATGATTCCAGAATGGTTTTCATATACATTAATGTCATTCGTATAACGATGACATCACAGCTATAAATTTCAAAATAAATTATAGAACTCTGCTTGGATTTTCCATTAAATCATATCATGTATATATACAGTTCTATTTCGTCTACTGACTACATTATTATTCGGTAGATTTCAACATTATTTATATATACTGTATTATTTTTATTTAACAGTGTGAATTCGTTTAGTCGTATTTTGCTATCAAACACATACTGAGTATGCCAGAAAGTTCAAAAGTTCAATTTTTATTTTATATTTTCAGGCTGCAAGATATTAGAATCTATAGCCAGAACGAAGAGAATCTCGAAAATATGACATCTAATAGAAGTTTTTTTAACGAATTTAAAAACAACAATTTTTACTATAATGAATTTTTCGACATGTATGTTTATATAGGATTGATCTGTGCTGTATTTCTAACGTCGATACCTTCCGGATTATTGTTATACAAATTTTTTACAATTGCTTCTTTCAAGCTTCACAACAATATGTTTCGTTGTATCATTCGAACTCCGATAGCATTTTTGGATAACAATCCCGTTGGTACGTAAAATGTTTTAGTTAATTTATTGTTAAGTTACAGAGTTTCTAATAAACTACCGAAAGAAATTTTTCGATAGCGTTACGTAACTACGGATGCTGTTTATACTCTTGTTTATTGTATCACAGATATTAGTTATAAGTTTTGTACAGTATATTACAGTACAATCATAAAATTAGTGTACTGTAATATGAACAGTTAAATACAATGGGTGATCGATTAACGAACATAATCCGTTTCAAGACTTTGTTAGCTACTTGAATTGTTCGATAACCGATTATCGATTTACCATACGTTTTTATGGGAATTTGATTAATTCGTTCCAGAGACCCCAAAAAAGAAAAAAATATATATACATTCGTTTAGTTATATGTAAATATAAAAATACATATATACACAATATTGAATTTTTATTAGTCATATTTTTTTCCATTTGTGGAAGCTAAAGAATTTGTCTAATGTCGATTGCTTTTCTCTCTTATTCATCATTTTCAGAAGTAATTAACCGCTATAACAAAATATTTTTATTTTAATAGCATTATAATTGTAGAGATCCGCAAGCATATTAATTTCAACCTGGTTTGAATGCCATTGTCAGACCGTTATTCTGACATCCTCCCACTTTTTCAAAATATGTTTAATAGCATATATATTCATTAATCCTCTTTTTCAGAAGAAAACATATCTTGCCGAGTTTCTTCGTGTTCTTCGTTGAAGAGTTCTTAAAATTCTTTTGTCGTCAGATCAGTTTCAGGTTCCATTTTGAGTTCTTCAATGTTCTTTATGTTTCATGTGTTATTTTTGTTACTTCTTTAGTTTCTCCAGTTTTCTTGATTGTACAATATCATTCTCAGATAAGATTGAACTGACGCATTCACAGTTGCTGGGCAGTAGACTTGTTCAAGCCATACTGCCCAGCAACATCAAACATCTACCCATTCTATACCTTTGCCATTATACTCTCATTTTTCGATAATTAATACCAAAGCAAAATGTAACGAGCGCCCGCCTACAGTCTCGCGAATACTATAAAAAAATTGTTTCTGTCAGAAAAATATAAGGCTGGAATTACAAGGGAGGTTTGAAAGTTTGGAGAAAAACTATCCGAGCAGTATATAACAAATTGAGCGCCGATGTCGCTGTTTCCCATGCTCCAAAAAGTTTTGAGTTGTTGCCTGAAGACCAATCAAATTCATTATTTAACGTCGGTTCTTCTTATGTTTGTTCTATGAGGTGTTCGTTATCCAAACTGTTCGGATAACGAACACCTCACATTGCACAATAATTACCGGTAATTAAAAGTAAATATAGTTATTAATTTAGAAAAATCAACTAGTTTCATACTATAAAAACCATATTTTCCATTCCTTAAATTATTGTGTGTATAAAAATGTACCATGTACAATCATTTAGTTGTAAGAATTCCACAAAATGTTTTTTGTAGATATAAACTGTGGGATATTCCTATAAATCAGTGTTTTCCAGCCGGGTGATATCGCCCCCATGTGGGCGTTTATCCATGATCCAGGGCGATTAGTAACAATTTATATTTTGGGGGGCGAAAAACAATTTATAATTTGGGGGCGAAAACAATTTACTGGGCGATATAGTAAAACATTATATTAAATATAATTAGATATTTTATTCGTTATATCGTACAATAATTAAACAAATAACATTATACTAGTTACAAGTCTATTCAATGCAGAACGAATTTGCCGTTAGCCTTGTCCCTCGGCATCGGAATTTTGTAGTAAAGGGGGCGATACTACGTAACAGTTTTATTGTAGGGGCGATACTACGTTGAAGGGGGCGACGGTTCGTTAGAGGTTGAAAAACACTGCTATAAATGATAATTATATCGAAATTTGTTTTTCCATAATTATTTAATTTAATTAATATTTTTTATTTTTATGTTTTTCAGGAAAAATCTTAAATCGATTTTCTAAAGATGTTAGTACCATGGATGATTTGATTCCTTTCTTTACTTATTATTTAATAAGGGTAAGTTAATTTTGAATACTTTATGTTAACGAAACACACCGACAGTATACAAAGTGTTTATTCGGCGTAAGAAAAGAAAGAAAGAGAAGAGAGGGGAAAAAGGTGAGGAAATAGAAAAAAGAAAGAAACTCTCTGAGCTGTGTACATAAGGTGATTCCTACTACAATTATCGTTTGTTTGCGAGCCTATGGGTCTAAAAATGCTCAATTGTAGCATACATCGTAAATAAGTAGTGCAGCTACATAAAACTTACAAAGACTAAAGAGTAATGTTTAAAGCCAAAGTAAAGGTTTCAAACTATTACTAAAATAATACAGATACTAATCTAGAAAGCTCTGTAAGAAGCAAAATAATTTAATTGAAACAACATGGAGAAAAAAAGAATACGGTAAAATTTAAGTTAATTAAATTATAGCTCTCTTAATTCTAACTTAAAACTAGTTATACTAACTTAAACTTAACTTTATACTAAACAAGAATACTAAGAAGGAACAACCAGACAAGTGACAAATGACCTATGGGAAAGTCGCCAATTTTTATTAATTTAAAAATATTTTTAATATTGTTGCATATAAGTATATAAGTATAGACAACATGAAAAACAATGTATAATAGACAAAACAGAAACCGATCACTAAAGAAACAAGAGACACAACACAAAAGAACTAGCTTCTCAATTAACAACAACTGGAACAATAAATTCAAGCAAAAAAACTTACTTGTTGTGTGCCATTGGGGAAAGTATCCACAAGAGATTTGCTGTAGGAAATGAATGATAATAAGTGATGGTATATTGTACGTATATAGATAAGTTTCTGTGGTATGCATGGCTAGATGTAATCTTCCATAATTTTCGCTTTTATTAAACTAATTCTTATGTTCGTGTATATATCGCAATGGAAAATTAAGTGGATAGCCGTTTGCTCTTCAATTCTGTATATTAAAATTTATGTAAACTAAAATTATAAAAAGTAGTGAACACGAAAAGTGATGGTTACGTACAAAGGTATGTTTGTGAATTTCAGACACGCTGTTTTGTTTCAGAAACGTCAAATACAACAAATGAAACATGCACTGTAAGCTACTTTCATTATAAACTCTGCGAATGTTTCAGGTATATGAACTTCCATTGTTGTAGACAGTTTGACTGTTTTTGTAAACCTATTTTTTCGTTCATTTTGATGACATTCGATAAAGTCTTTTTTATTTGCATGCTAAACTCGAATGATCGTTCGCATTTTATCTTGGATTATATTTTTAAAATAAAAAGTTTGCTGCAGCTATCACTGCACATGTACTACTGAATCCGAGATATTGACAGTTGTCCCGTATGTAGAACCACAGAACATCTACAGAGCAGCTGTGTCTCACCTGATCGTTGCTACATAGACTACGTATGTAGCCAGAGAACGTATAGTATAATTTTGGTAAGTTGAACCATCTCTCTTACATACGTATGGCAGATTATGAAAATAGTTTAATTTTTCACTTTTGCTTGAATATTTGAATGACAGCCGGGGGAAGAAATGATTATGATGTGTCAACCTACATCTTCTGCAGAACTAAAGAGCAAATTCGCAGAAATCAACAAATCCCAGGAACTTTTTGCAATGACATAGATATATAGTTTATGAACTGTCTGTAGGGCAGAAAAAGTAAAAAAAAAAGTTATTTGCTCTTCGGAATTTTCGAAATTAAAATATTTCTTGTCATCATAAAATGAAAATACTAATACCGTAAACACATGCTAAGTAACGTGGGCAAATGTTTTTTAATCAGTAATTTAAAATTTTTTGACAAAAAAAATTACAATTATTAAATTATGATACAGTAGTTCGGTAAATTACTAAAAACTGAACGTTCCTGTACATTGAACTATCGTAAAATGTTTTGATCTCATTTTTTCTAATTACAAATTGAACAGTGCAATCTCAGTTCAGTAAAACTTCTCAGTACCGCTGATAATAAAAATAAACACAAAAATAACCAAGTGCATTTTAAATTAACTTTCTTTATTTTCGCATTGCCTGAACACTACGCTAACTGGCGATTTTATAAACACAGAAAATATGCATTCTATTAGTAGTTAGAAATGCTTTGTTGCACTCTTGATAATAATTTATTTTTTTAAATAGATTTGTATGATTATATATCTAGGAATACATCTAGGAATATATTTTGAAGTAAATGCAATTATTATCATGTATTTACTCAAACAATTTTTATGAAACACTGACTAAAATACTGTTTTTAATATAAGAAGTATAATATAAAACCTATCATAAATCTGGAACCATAGGATTTATGTTGCTGTCGGTTTATTTTTTCAGAGGTTGTATGGAGATTACTAAAAATACAATAACCGGTACTTAACTTTTCCTGCAACATCTATACTTGCATTTTTTGCCTTCTGTTATAATATGTCGGTTTAAAAGTTTTTTGTTTTTTATAGTTATAAAATAGCAAAAATTTTAATTTTGTAAATAGGCATTACATTTATATAAAGATGTAAATGCTAATAACGAGTAAACTCTTTATTAGGGGAGATAGGGGCAAGATCGGCATGTTAAGCTTTACTTAAATTTTGTGTAATAAATACTGCTGTAAACTGAAAAAAAAGCTTTGCATATTGTCTATTGGAATGTTACCTTACTATAGAACTGGTTAAAATCAGTTTGGAAATAAAAATAATTAAAATAATTACAACTTTACAAGAAGAGAGAAATTGACGAAGTTGCCCCGGGTATAGGGGCAAGATCGGCAACTTCTCTCTTTTTGTAAAGTTGTAATTATTTTAATTATTTTTATTAAAGTTGCCCCTGGTATAGGGGCAACAGTAATGGGGCAAGATAGGCACGTATATAAAATTATGTTATTAACAATGTATAAGTTGGAATTCACTATTAAAACAAAGAAATACAAATCCAACACCCATTTAATATTATTACAACGAAATGCAAGTTCAAAGACATATATACATGAATAACAAATGCAAACATGTTTTCATTTATCATCTGTTTGATTTTTATCCTTTGCTTCTAATGTGGCTTTATGTTGCCGATCTTACCCCGCTAGTCATGATTTCGAAACATTAAGTACAACCCTGAGAACAGAATGCCAAGCCACGATCTGGCCACGTGAATAAGTTGAAGTTACATCCTTCTAACAGGAAAAGTAACTTTCGTTATCATGGAATTATAACAAAACCTGCCAATTCAATATAAATGGAAAAAAAATATTATATGGAATTGAACGAAAATGAAAATTTGCTTGATAATTCAACTACGCTTGTTGGAGAACAATAAAAACACTACACTCAACAAGCCACCAATAAAACTCAACTGCCTAACCTATAACCAAAGTCTCCTTTTAATTTGTTTTTTAAAAAAAGCGCTTGACAAACTTGCCCCGCATGCCGAAGTTGCCCCGATCTCCCCTAAATTGCGAGCCTACTGGACGTAGGAAACACGATTTTTCTTTATCTGCCATCTCTCTCAAACTTTAACCATTAGCAGCATCATTCCTTCAATACACAAATTTCTGACACAACCTTATTGCAATACACAACCTACTTGCAAATTTAAAAAATTTCTGACAAAAAGCAAAGGAGTTATTAAGCTTCAAAGAGAATGAACAAAATAGTGTCATACACACTCATCCATACATACAGAAACAAGTCCCGAATTTTTCTGCATTTAATGGCATTTTAATATTCCCTAAACTAAAAATCTAAACGTCTTAAGAGTCGTTATAAGACAGACTGCCATATTTTTTCTTTGTTATATATACATATCAGAGATGTGAAAATAAAATTTTAGTAGTTAAATTATATCATAATTTTTATTCCGGAAACCCGAAAAACATTAAGACCTTTTTAAAGATTTTAACGAATTGCATCTAGACATTACAAATAGCGGCACACATTGATCTGGATGCAGATAACTTTTTTTTTTATTTATTGTTAATAAAAACAGTAAATGTCTCGAAAAACTGATATTGCATCCCCAAATAAATGTAAACCAAAAACTTCGCAACTTTTCAGAGACAGTGGGTCTTTAACGCGAAAATAATTAAAATTGTTTTTTGCTTTATAATTGACATGTCACCTCTAAAAACAACAGTTTTACATAATACCAATTGTTCCAGACTTGTGACACACCAGTATACATTTTTGAACAAAAAGATGACTCTTTTAAGTACTTGTAAAAATTTTTTGTATACTTTACTTATAAAACTTAAGTTTTAAGATCTCAAACTATTTATTAGCAATTTCTATTTTTTTAATTATAGGGATACTTAATTCTTGTTGGCATGTGTGTTGTTCAAGCAATCGTCTGTCCATATCTACTTGTATTAATTGCAGTCCTTTCAATAATATTTTACGCTTTTTGGACAATTTTCAGCCGAGTGATGAAAAGCATAAAACATCTGGAAGGAAAATGTAAGTATTTCGAATATAGAAGTGTTTTGTATTTAACTTAATCTCGTGTAAAATAATGACGACAAAATTCTGTATACAGAGATAAAGAGACTCAGTAAAAACACTATTTTATCATGCTAAGTTAAATTGCAAAACACTATGAACAATTACTTAAATTCATAAGTTAAAGAATTTCTTAAAACTAGATTGAAACAATAATGTATTAGTTCTGTTATTATGAAGACAGATTTACTTATGTCAGAACTTTTTTGGTCACCATTAAATCAAGTGTTTTATTATCATAATTGAAAACAGCCAGTCTATCACTTACATAAAGAAAACCAATTTGATTAAATAACAGATTTTAAAATATGAAAAATTTTACAGAACAATTGAATAAAGGATCATTTGTATTCTTTTCACTTACTTCAAGTCGATTTCAAAATATACGTTACGGTAAATCTATCATTACAGATTTTCCGAGAAAGTGGATTATCCTTGGATTATCCTTGACATAAAAAAGTGGATTATCCTTGATTTAAATAAACAACGTAAATTTATTTACAGAGAAAGTTATAAGTACAGTAACAAACAGCTTTGCATCGGGTATACATTTTTAAATGACAAAGTACTGAATGAAACAGCGTTAAACCAGATCACTTTAATAAAGAGTAAACAGAGAAAAAAAACCACGCAGAAAAAATAAACAGATTTTACTTTAATTTTATCTTAATTTTTTATTAATTTGTAAAATAATATTCGTTAAAAAACACATAAAAATATGCACACGGAAATGTAAAGTTATCATTTTGTGATGAACGTCTTGACTTTTCTCAATTTTTTTTTTTTGCGATAAAGTTGTGTACAGTCGACGCCCCTATAAGACGGTAGATACGTTCCATTCTTTAGGAATCCAATTTCTTACGAGTCCTTGCCAATCACAGCCCGACACGTGTGAAGTTTACGGACTACAGCTGTTTGAAAGGTTTCTTCCATAAAATTAATCGATTCTAGACTAATTCGACTCAACATTTCCAAAACACGGATAATTTTTTGGGAATAATTCATATAAACTATGCTATAAACAAAAACTTGTAAGATTACTTACTGAGTGTGCACCATTCGACATCGCAATTGCTCAAGCTTGTTTTAGTCGCAGAACAGTTTAGCAAACCGCAGCAGCGATTTCTGATGTTATTTTTCTGCGAAAACTTCGCTGAACTTTGGAGACATTATTAATATAAATAATTTATATCGCCGTTGAATAAGAAATGTTTCTTTCACAAGAAATGTATAAAATTACAGTACTGTATTAGACTTACGGTACCTAATTTACATACTGACAGACGATAGTTAGCGTAAAAATCTCCGTAGCGTGGCGCCACGCTAGACGGCGGAAATTATATATTTAATTATAACAAAGTTACAATAAGTTAATATATAATTATATATACAGTACCTAATTTATATATAATTAATATATAATTATATGTACAGTACCTAATTTATGTAATACTGTCCAGACGATAGAAATCTCTCTGTAGTGTGGCGCTACGGACGGCGGGAAAGTAGTTTGGCTGCCCGATGACGTTTGAGGTAATTATAGGGAATTTTTACTGTTTTTTACGGATACCGGTCACAATTTTTTCGTAGTTTTATAGGAATCGTAATTATAGGGACCGTAATTATAGGGGGGTCGACTGTAAT